AGTCACCATCCCTGGAAGTATTTAAAAAACGGGTAGATGAGGCGCTTAGGGACATGGTTTAGTGGGCATGGTGTTGTTGGGTTGATGGTTGGACTCGATGATCTTGGAGGTCTCTTCCAACCTTAATGATTCTATGATTCTATGATTAAATGTTCAGTTCCTTTTTTTTTCCTAAAAAAGAGGGATAAATTATTTTGTTAGAGATAAATTAGTTATGAGGAACCTTTGGCAATAGATAACGAAAAAATCAGCAACTATTCTTGCCAGATGTTGTTCTCAAGAGCCTTTTGTTGTCACAGTTTTGGACTCTACCTTTTCTGTTCTGTTTTAGAGACTGACTTCTATTTGTCCTTAGAATGGGGCACATTTACCTTGGACTGCCAGAGATGGGCGTAATCAGAAATAGCGCTTGTTCTCCTTCTTGAAGATAGAGCCTCCACTGTCCATCAAAGTAGTGAAATCCTTCCGTTGTGGGTTTTATTGTTGTACCGCTCAGGTGCCCCTTGACCTTGAGGGATGTTATCCTGATTGCATGCCTGTACTCGGGAGGCAGCGCTGTGTATTGTAGGAACGTGGCACACAGGACGCTGTGTTAGGTCAGGGAGGTAACTGCAGCTCCTGGTTCCAGAATCCTGTGTGTCACACGCACCAGTTGGTTGAAGTCTGTGGATGTAACAATGTGCATCTGCAGTACTACAACTTCCCTTTTAAAGAGGGACAAGTCATTTGGGCTACTGCTTACTTAGTTAGCAACGCTTCAACAAAGGGAGCAAGTGTTTCTCTTGAACTTCCAGCAGTTTAAACTAAAGGATACCTGTCTCTCCCTTCATATAGTTCTTGTTCAGGTAAAAATCTAGTTCTGATTTCTTACAAATGCTGCTACAAGCATGAGATTTTACTATCATCTCATCTGATGTATTTCTGTAGTCCCTTTTAAATATAGGGAGTCTGGAAAATTACCTACCTATACCTACAGTATGAACAGCACTAAAAAGTCTCGAGTCAGCCGGGGAAATACTCTTATTCTGTCCCCCTGCAGAGCAACTTGGAAGTGCTGATGAGATAAGGGCTGTGAGCAGAGGCTGGGCTTTTGCTTGCTGGCAGAGACTTTGTGGGCACAGCTACCTGCGTGTCACAGCAATTTAAGATTTGGCTGTTGAGATCAAATTCGGCTGGGCTTTCTGTGTTATGCTAGGTCATAAAGAAAGCCTGGACATTCCCTCGGAGGGGCCCGCATTGCTATTTTAAACGGTAGAAATATGTTTTCTGTATACAAGTTTCCATGCAACCCATTTTCCGTACTCAGGTGTAGGGATCTTGAACGACTTCTTACTGGAATAACTCCCTGTGGGCGTCAGGAGCAAGAAACTCATTTCTCTCCGTATTCACAACTTGCAGGTCAGTGAAGGAGGCCCTGGAATCCAGCCTGTTTGAGGCTCAGCAGCACTTATCGCAGCTGGAGATCGCCAGGAGTCAGCTTGAAATCCAACTTCACACAGTCACGCAGGCCAAGGAGGTGATACAAGGTGAGAGCCTCATGTGCTTTGCTTCTGGTGATCCCCCTACCTAGGGAAGGTGGTATAAAAAATAGCTCTCTGTCCGCAGTGCTTCTGAGGAGTGAAGGAGATGGAGGCAGATCCCTCCTACACTGAAATTCAAACGGCTTAAGGTCAGTGAAGTCAGAACCATTGTTTGTGTAGACTCTGAATCTTGCCATTTGTCGTGTTTGCAGGGGAAGTGAAGTGCCTTCAGTGTGAGCTGGAAGCAGAGAGATCTCTCATGAAGCAGGAACGGGAAAACATGGCGCAACAGCTCTTGCGGACAGAACAGCAGTATAACAATACCCTCAAACTTTGCGAAACTGATCATGAAGTGGAAATAAACAAGCTCCTGCAAGACCTGGTAGGAAACAATATGCTTCTGAATTCTTCAAGCAAGCTTTGTGGGCTGACTTTAGAAGACGACTAGCCCAAGCGTGTGAAATGGCAGCAATCCTCTGTCATAGGCCACACGTTGCTAGGCCAGGCAGCAGAGCCAATGGCTCGTACTTGAAGGCACGTGAAGACCCACAGGACTATGCTGGGACAGTAAATGCAGCCACAGATGCAGTGTGGGCCTAAGACGAGTTCAACAGAAGGTTGGGTGGTCCCCACCCAAAGCATGGCAGCAAAGGGGTGGGATCTTACCAGACTCCCGTCTACCATGAAGTAGACTCCTAACATTGCTGCCAACTGCAGTCACGGAAGCTTGGTTCCTTTCTTTCTGTCCTTTCACGGTTGACAGAGGGCTTGAAGCTTATGGAACAGGCCCCTTGTTCCTGGTACTTCAGTTTGTGGCCTGTCTTGTGACTAGGGCATCAGGGTACTGGTCTCTTTCTCACCCTGCAGTCCATCTGCACCTTTTCGCTGATGAAAAGGGAGGTGAGCTTTGAAAAGAGAGACTCTGAGAATAGATAGAAATCCTGAGGAGAGAGGTGCTAGGAAACAGGCAGCCATCAGAGAGGGGAAGGCAACATCTCCTTCTCTTCCACCTGCTGACCCTCCTTTTAAGTTCCTTGACAGGACACGATATATGGAGGGCACAAAGCCGCCACTGTGCACTGTTCAGGTCGGGGGTTGTGGGAGGGATGAAGCTTCACATTTTTTTGAGGAGCTTGGCTGGGACTTCATCTTGAAGTCTTTTCCTCCTCTCATCAGGCAAGCGAGCGGGAAGGGCACCATTCAGAGCTGCAGGAGATGCTGGAGCAATGGGAAAAGGAGAAAGCAGAGGCAGGAAGGGAGCACGAGAAGAAGCTGTTTGATATGAAGCAGAAAGTTGCTACCGTGCACGCTCAACAAGAAGAGGAACGAACCAGAGTCGAAAACGCCAAGCAAGAGGTAAAGACTGTGAAAGGAGAATTTGTGTGGTTCTTTGCAAAGCTAGAGCTGTGGGAGATGACTGGATATCGGGCTGTGTGGGGCATGCCCTACGTGTTTTCTACATTGAATTTGGTGAGGTGAAAGGCGTGCAGGGCTATCTTCGGGACTAGGAATGAGACCTCTCGTAGGAAGCCAGGCAGACGTGTCACCTTCCATTTTAGATTTCTGTGCTGCTATTGTATTCTGGCTTTTCTAAGAGTTACCTCAGAGTATCTTCACTGTTCTCTTAGCGGTCTTCTTTTGACGTTTACTGATACGTGTTTATAGCCTTAACTCCATTAAAGACCAAACTGAGTTTGTAGGACTGAATCCCCGTGAGGATGGGGTTTTTGTTTGGGGAGGACGGGGAGGGGCGCAGCAGGATTGTTGACAAAAGAAAAATCTTTTTAAAGACTCCTCTGAAATGTTTCTGAGCAGTAAAACAGAGGTGTCTTCCGGGCTGTGTTTTAAGTCACTTGCCGGTAAGCTATTTCGCGCCCAGATGTCCTGTGCCAAAGCAACCCTGTGATACACTGAGAGTCCTCCTTGTGTCCTACCCGAAGTCCTCTTTATGGAGACTGCCTAGGGACAGCAGTACCCCCAGCCGTGTCTACAAGTATTGAAATGACAGGGCGGCGCTCAGAGATGACAGTGTGTCCCTGTAATGTCGGTACTTCTTTGGTAAAGTCTACTGAATACCTTAAAACCGAAGTAATTCTCACCAAACCTCACTTAGAGTACATGAGTTTTCTGAAAGAGCTGCTAGCTTCAGCCCTCTGGCAGCCTTGCGTTTTCTCTACCGCTAACTAGGTGCAGAAGTCGCTACTGAAAGCCAAACAGGACACAGCAGAAGACGAGGGATACCCTCACCAGCAAGGCGAGACACTTGAGAAATGCCACACATTCTCCTGTTAGATGACTAAGAGTTTGTTGGAGATTCAGTCACAGATGGACCGTGGCTGGACCATGTTTATACTGCCAATCTCACTTAGGAAGCTGTGTCTCCAAGTGGGCAGATATTGACCTAGGAGACCAGCAGCACAGTGCTTTGAGAACGTGTGAGCCCATGAGTCCTTGAGTCTTGCCACACAAATTTTGTCTGGGAAGTTTAAACCCGTCTTCTCTTTGTTTCTGTGCAGGCCCTGCTAGAAAAGGAGCGTGAGAAGAATGCTTTATTGGAGACGCTACTCCAAACGCAGGGAGAGCTAACAGAAGCCTGCCAGCAGCTAGAGCAGCTCAGGCAGGACCTGAAAAAGCAGCAAGAGAATGGGCAGGTAAGTCTGACTAGTAGGGTAGGTTGAAAGAACGGGCAGTTGGCAATTGGACGTAAGCTGAGAGAGAGGCTGAGGGCCAGGTAACAGAGTGAAGGGCAGTAACAAGGAAATAAAACCTAAGTCCTGGGACTGAGGAGGCAAGGACTACTGCGGGCACTGAAAGCACAGAGCCTGGTAAGCTCCAGAGATCGGCAACAGGAGGGGTGGGTTACAATGGAACCAGAGCTGGGTAGAAAAGCAGAAAGAAGTGGCTGAATGAATGTGATTTTGAGACAGAAAGAGGAAAAAGCCGAACCTGATGGCAGGTCCCAGTAACTTGCTCTCCATTTGTGTTTACAGAACATCACAGAAAAGCTGCAAGCAGAGCTGCAGCAAACTCGGAGTAAGATCAAGGCAGTGGAGAAGAGGCACAAGGAAGAAATCAAGACCATCAAAGAGGAAATGAACGTTCTTCTTCAGCAGAGGGATGCTCTACAAAAACAGGTGACTGAGACAGCAGTAGGTACTCCGGTCATCAGACGGGTGGTCTCTCCCCTTCTTGCCTTTCCATTGCAGAGCAGGCTGATGGGGTAGTCCCTCTGACTGCCATCATACTGTGGTCTCCAGCTCGGCTGGTCTGAAGGAGGCTTACTGGTCAGCTGAATCTCAGCTGCTGCCCTGGCCAGATGGGCTGCTCCTTTTGCCTGTTTGCCAGCAATCATCAGAGTGGATTTCTGCTGGCCTGTTACTGCTAGCCTTGTTTTTTAAGGTGGTTTTTCAGATGAACATGGTGACCCACTTAGATTTTTAAACAAGCTGGCTGTATCCATTGTGAATCTGGTACTCTCACGATAGGGTGAAATTCAAAGTTGTTCTTTCCCTTTCCTCGCAGTATATGATATGGCTGACGGCGACAAGCTGTAGTCTTTGACTGCTTTGTTATGTTTTACTTGAGGTGGAAGAGTTGACGTCTCAGCTAGCAGCCTCCGAAGGGTCTCTAAAGGAGGAGGCTATGACTCTACATCAAGAGGTGGCGTCTTTGGAAAGGAAACTCGAGAGCACTGAGAAGCAAAGAAAGGATGTCCTGGTGAGGCTGGCAGATGCTGTGAAGGGCCATTTCTTACACGTTTTTTGGCCTTCTGTTAATAATTCTAAGGAGCAACTTTTTTTTTGGTTTAACTTTTCCAATTGCATTCTTCTGAATAAGTAGGAAAAGATGCCGTAGTCACGTAAGACTCAGTTACGAATCAGGGTGCTTATTTTCCTCAGTTCTGAAGATTTCTGCCCTTGAAGCTTTAGTCAAAGTAATTTTCAAACTTGTCTCTATTTACGTTGCATGGTTTGGGCAATTATTTGTGTCCAAATCCATATTTAGATTTCTAAATATCTGGATCTGGAAAAAGGGGTGAGAAGACAAAGTTTGCTGCTAATAGAAAGCTGTTCAACATTGCCCGTCTGAGAGCAGACAGTGGGGGAAAAAAAAGAGACATCTGAGAAACAAAAGTGCTGATCCAGCTAAATATGTATGTCTGCAAGGGGAAAACTAGTCCTGATTTGAAACACGGAATGACAGACTGTGACCTGACCATTACTCCTTCGAGAGGGGGACAGTGGCCTCCTAGAGGATGGCACCACGAAAATTCTACACCGTAGAGGTCCAGGGGAAGAAAAAAAAAAAAAAGTAAATGAAACATTGGGGTTGTTCTCAAAGGAAAAAAAGGGAAATCAAATGTTGGGGTTGTTCTCTCTTCCCTTCCTAATAGAGAGAACATCATCGTGCCGCTGCTTAAATCATGCTTAGTCTGGACTTGAAATCCTGGCTGCAGTTCTGGCAGCTCCTCCCCAAAAGAACACACTAGAGCCAGCAGAGGTTCAGCAAAGGGCACGAAGGAAGATGGGACTGGCTGAGTAAGCTGGGAAAGACGCAGCCTAAAGAGTGGCGCAGGAAAGGTCTACAACATCCTGAGAGGCAGGGAGAGAGGGGGCAGCGGTCGTTCACTCTCTTGTCCAAGAGATGAACAAGAGCCATCTGATGAAGGTAGCGAGAGCCACGCTGCAAGTAAGTGACAGGAGGTG